AAACTAAATCCAATTTAGAAAAAAGTTATTAATATTGTAATTATTTTTATGATTATTATTATTTTGTTAAACAAATAAAGTGATCCTAAGCATTAAACGAGTATTCATTCTTTTTATTCATTCTTTTTATTCGAAACATTGGGTTTTTTTTAATTCAACTTAAAAAATTAGGAAGTTTTTTTAATTTACATTTACGATTAAAACTGATTTTCCCGCCCAAACGAGATAAAAAACGATTGAGATCCCGCCTAATTTATGAAACTCAAATTATTTCATAATTGCGTTCAAATGCATTTTTCTTTAGTTTACATTTGTGTCATAGTAAATAAACTACTTTAACAAATACGGTTTGTGAAAGAAAATTGTACTGATCTTATCGTCATAATTTTTTACAAGCGTGTGTATATCAATAAATAATCAACAAAATAAAACGTAATACAATAAAAGTTTATAGTTACAATTAAAAATCTGTAAACGTTTACATGTACAATACGTTTACAAACGTTTACAAACGAATGTATGTAGGGTAGAAAATTCTACCCTACATACATACTGAAATTCATTAAAAGTACCAAAATGCATCAGTAAGATTGCGAAAAACAAAATTTGCGTATTTTCTTAAGCAAACGACGACAAAAGATTTATCTTGAACTATTGCTAATTTGCTTTATTTATAAAAAGTTTATATTTTTCCGACAGTATTTTTTAACCTTTTTTAGAATCTGGTTTTAAAAAAATATTTGGAGTTTAAGTTTGTTTGTTTAAGAGTACATTATAATAAAACACAAAAAAAAAAAAAATTATTTTAGTAGCTATTTCTTTTTTTGTGTATGGGTCTATGGGTATGTAGTTTGAATGGGTATGTTACTTTTTTGAGATTTTTTTATTTCTGAACATGTTTAAATGATAAAATGCCTTCATTTTTATTACTTTTAAAGCTTTACAATTAACGAATAACTGCTGCTTTTTAACTGTCCCGATTTGCCCACCCACTTGCAAAATGTAGATAATTTGCTAGTTTCGTTACTTTGGTTGTCATAGTTAGAAATAATTAGAATTTTTTTTTCTTTTAGAAATAATTAGAAATTTTTTTAGAAATAACTAGAATTATTTTTTCTCCGATTTCTTATTTCAATGTATTTTAAGAAACTTATAAAAAATAGTATTGATTATGATTAGTTTATCCGCAAGTAGCATTTGTTTCTTAAGTGTCCCTAGATGCCCCGCACTACCCTAGTCTATATGCGTTTTCCACGAAATGTTTTCATCAATAAAAACACTTAAGAACTTCCTGGCATAATAGGTCGGTGTAGCGGTAAATTAAGACTCCAGGAAATTAGGACTTTGAAGTCTTGATTTCCCGGGAAATCAAGACTTTGAAGGAAAATTTGACGGGAAAATATGATGTTATGAGTCATAATTTCCCGGGAAATTATAATTGGAGCGGTAAATTAAGACTCCAAGAACTTGCGATTCAAAAAGAAAATTTACAAAGATGTCGTTCTATTCTGCAGTAAAAAAATTTTTTTTTTAAAAAAACTGTAAATAGATTTAGAATAGAATCAAAGTTGATTCGAACGCAAAAGCATGTTTAAATAATGCGCTATAATTGTTTCATACGTATACAAGTAAATAAATTTTACAAACAAACACAAGTGTGGTGCTTCATGGCAAAGGAAAGAAAACATTTTGATTTTAATAACATAGAAGATTATCTTAGGAATAAAAAATATCCTTCTACTATATCTACACATGATTATGGAATTAAATCAAATTTTCGAAGAGCAGCAAAACGGTTTGAAATGACAGATGGACATTTATTTTATAATAAAAGAATGGTTATTAAAAACAAAGAACTCCAAATGGAAGTTATTAGAGACGTACACCGAGGTATTGGAGATTCTGAACACTCTAAGGCAATGGCCTCACATAGAGGAAAAAACACTACGTACGACAATATTGCGCAAAGATTTTTTTTTGGTATAATATTGTAGCTGATGTTAGTAAGTATATTAGGAAATGTGAATAATGTCAAAAACAAGGCGACCTAAAGTCTCCAAAAGTAGAATTGAAGTCTATACCAGTACCATCAAGTGTAATGAAACAAGTTGGAGTGGACATTTGTAATCTTCCAGTAGTGCCCCCCTCGGGCCTTGGGGAGAATAATTTTAAAAAAAAATGTAGCGTCTATCATTCTATTAAAACTACTCTAGTATATTTCTTAGAGTTTTATTTTAAGTATTTACGAAAGAAAAAATTGCGTTAAATACAAAATATGACAAATACCTTAGCCGTCCATAGAGGACGCCATCCTTTTTTAGGCAATTTCACTCCCCCCAGGCGATGACTACCTATTTAAAAAATAATGAAAAAACTTATTTGATTTCATTCCATATTTTATGGACTTCTTTTTGACAATAAATATTTTATAAGTTGGATGAAGGTTATTATAAGACCTTATTAGCGAAATAAAAAAACAATTTTTATCTATCTTGTGAGGTGCAAGTGCCCCTCCTCACTTACTTTTTATTTATTAAAGTTGACAATTTTTATAAAAAATCCAGGATTTTTTTTTTAAATAAGGTAGTGTGCCCCCTCCCCCCTACACACACACTGCAAAAACCGTGTCGTCGGCCCTGATGGACATTGAAAGTATGACGTTCAAATAAAAGTTGCAGCAGACAACACTGATATTTTACACTTTAGGAACATTTTTGAAAAATATATATATATATACTCTAAGGATATATTCATAAAAGCACGTTTACATAGTTTTCCATGTTATTTAATATAAAAAGTGAAGTCCTTTTCTTGTAAACCCCCTCACTCCCACTTTGTCTCTTTTTATCCTTCTTATCCCAACCCCCTCCCTCCTTTTTTGCAATATGTTCTTTATGGTTGACCCCTTGAGCAATTCATTTATCTTTTTTTAAAGAAAAACAACGAATAAAAAAAAGTAAAACTCCATTCCATTAAATTTATTCATTTCTACTAATTTCTATGTTCTAAATATTTTATATTTCTACTAATTATCAAAAGTTTAGTTATTTCTCTATCATCAATTGAAAATAAAATCAATAAAAAAATAAAATCAATAAAAAAAATTTGAATTCATCAAACAAGATATTATTGGAGTCTTAATTTACCATTATTTTACTTTCATCAATAATTTATTTGTGTTCATAGTTATACTTTTAATTCTCTTTCATTAAATCTACGTTTACTTTTTATTTCATAAAACTAATTAAACCATTGAACTGTAAATTGTTGACTGATGATATGGGATCTTGTAAGATGTCTTTTGTAAAAATGTTATCCTTCAAATAGACTTTTTATGTGGACTATTTTTACTTGACCACCTTAGCTAAAAAATTAAAACTTCCATCTATATATCATTATTTTTAATACCTTGGTGATAATTTAATGCATTTATAGTCTCTTCACAAAATACTTTTAACATGTATCAACCTTTTGTCTAACAATCAGTCTAGGGTTAGCAGCAACATAAGTCAGCTTAGACATTTTAACCAGCTGACTAACTCAATTTCAGCAGACTTTTCAATTATCTAATTGTTTCGTATACACTTTAATACATGCATAAAATCAAAAAGTAAAAAAATGCCATCAGTTGTAAACCATAGAAATAAGCAATCAAATCGTTTTATAAAAATGCTTGATTTACTCTATTATAATCATTAATTAAAGCGATAAATTTTCCATTTGTCTTCTTAATTTGGTTGATTAGGATATTAATTTGATTGTATACAAAATCAAAATTATTTACTGGTAACATTCTTACTATAAATTTTGTTTCCTCATAAAAACATACAACCATGAAAGCAAACATAGTTGTTGCAAAACTTGATTCATTGTTTACTGCTTTACAGTTCACATCGAAAAAGCTTCAAAAGAAGGTGATCTGGTTAAAATATTTGCTTTACCAAACAAATGTTCCCATGATAAGTTAGCATAGGTTTAACATAAACTTCATCTTGTAATAACATACAGTTTTTTGACTATTTTGTTGAGTTTTAAAAAAACACTACAAATAAAAGTGTGAAACTTTTGAAGTTATAAGTGTCAGGAAGATAAAAATCATTTCTTAATTGATCATATAAACTATGTGACCGTGCAAAATGTTCTAAAGCTCAAACAATAACTTTAGGTGAATATTTTTGTTAAAAAATGTTACTTGAGTTCAACTTATACATTCAACCTGCTGACATAAAATTGTTTTCTTTTCTGACTTCTTAAAAGAAATCAAATATCCAAATGATGTGACCAACTTTTGAACTTATAAATACAATTTTTAACTAATGAAGTAATATTGAATACAACTCCAGCATGATAGGTTTCATATGATAAACTATTAAATACTATTAGACACAATTTACTAATATCAGTATTGCTTTAATGCTCTTTTGATTGCAAACAGTATCTATTCAAAAAATAAATAAATTAGGTATGTGGATTGAAAATTTTAAATTGATCAAAGGTTAGATTGTTATATATCATTAGAAAGTGCTTCAATACAGTATTTCAAAGGTGAAAAAATTATTAAAATCGGACTATTGTACAAAAAGTTATGACGTTTTTAGTCGCAAATTTTTGATATATGGATTTGTTGAAGAAACTGTGGTCAAAATTTAATTTTTCTTTACTTAAATTGTTATAACTTTGTCAATTCTTGTCTAAATACCTATAACTTAGTATCAAAAGATAGGTGTAACTGTGGGCTACAAATTTATAACATCGTCCACCTATTAAGCGTTTCCTGGGGGCTAGAGGGGGTGCCGAATCACCACTTTTACCCTAAAAATAAGCATATTTCTTTCAATAAAAAGTGTTTTTTTTCAACTAACGGTTATTTTTTTTATACAAAAAATTGCTATAATTTTATTCCAGACCATCAATGATTGATGTTTATTAAAGTTGGTGGTGGATATGGTGGTGATGGTTTAACACACCCTAATTTCAAAAATATTTAATTCTCTAATTATAAATAAATAAATATTTCTATATTTAATAAAATAAGTGAAACTAGTATACAGTATAAAAAACATAAAAAATTTTTTTGCTACAAGAAATTCATTTATTGGTGGTGTGCTTATTGACTTGTGGGAGGGGCGTGTGCCCCCCCCCCCCAACCTAAAAAAATAAATAAGTAAAATAAATAAATCTTTATAATAACAATTATAATTATTTTAAAATAAGTTAACAATTTAAAACCTGAATTAGGCTTTTTGCACCAAGTATAACCTACAAGCTAAAGATAAAGACCACAACTGAGCCTACTTTTGAAAAAAAGTCTTTCCGCTGCTATTCGTAAATTTTGGTTAAGTTGAGAAGTTTGTTAAATAGGGTGGTAATGGTTACCCACAACCTACAATAAAAAGATGTTGAATTCTTAAAAATAATTGTATCTTTAACAAACAAAATAAATTAGAATATTTTATTTTTTGATATTTCATTAAATATATTTTATTTCATTACCAAATATATCAGTGTTGTATCCTATAAAAAAATGTAACAATCAATTTTATATTGTTCTGTATTAAAACATTTTAGATATCCTAAGTTTATATAGTTGTCTTAGCTTTTAGTAAATAATTAAAATCAATTTCATAAATGGAACACTATAATAATCATTTGTAACAATAGACACCACGTGAAGATAAGCCAGAGCTGCCTATCAAAATATTTTGCAAGTCACAACACTTGTGCAAAGGTCATTCCAAGTCAAATACTTTTATTCTTCTCTAAAAACATTTATAAAAAAAAAGTAAAACAAAAACATATGGTTTAATACCAGGCATACCTGACTTGATATGACTACTTCTTCAAGTTATATTACTTACAATACCTTTATACAAGTTTCATCATATGCCGTATCTGTTTTGTAAGTTTTATCACTTGCAGTATCTATTTTTAAAGCTTCATTACAAGTAATATCATAAGTTGTTACATATTACACTTCAAAAAAAAATCAACTCTCCTAGTCCAACATCAGCGGAAGCTGATATTTTTTCATGTTGTAGTCAACAGCTTCAGTATCAGTATTACCTTTATTCCAGTAAAAAATTGTGCAAACTTTGTCTTGTTTTGTTTTATCAAGTTTTTCTTCTCTACCATCATACATGACATACTTCGAATACTTACTATTGTACCATTCATGGCAAAGTTTTTGCCCAACAATTCTATCTGACATTACATCATCTTAGTCATGACGTTGTTTGATAGACAATGTATTTAAACACTTTACTTCATTGTAAAAGAGTTCAAGCAACTGTTATTTTAACTTTCTTTTTTCTTTTTCATCCATTTTTTGGCATTTGCATACATGTTTTTTTGAAATATCTGCTCATATATCATTATGCTTCATTTGATTTATCATCTCTTTTATGGGTTTCTGAATAGATCACATAACTATATTTTTATGGGTTTCTGAATAGACCACATAACTATATTTTTATGGGTTTCTGAATCGACCACATAACTACATTTTTATGGGTTTCTGAATCGACCACATAACTATATTTTTATGGGTTTCTTAATCGACCACATAACTACATTTTTATGGGTTTCTGAATCGACCACATAACTATATTTTCTCTAGATAATTGATCTAAACTTTCTAGGTAATTTAATTTGTATGAAACATAACAAACTGTTGCATTAGGTGATCTTTCTTCAGCCTCACTAAACATTCCCATTAACTCTTCACTATTTATATCGTGCTGCCTTGCACATGCTACTTCCTCCTTGAGAGTCTGGTTAATAGAAAGTGAGAAATATCTCTTACATTGATGAGTTATGACGTCTCCTACTGCAATAAGACAAGCAAAAGTCATATTAATAAAGTGTTCATCAATCAAACAAAACATTTTTTATTGGATCTAAAATATTTGGTTCAAGATCATTTTAAAAAGTGAACCTGGATTTGATTTAGAATCTGCAATTTTTAGTAAAATATTTTTTAATACCAGGATTCCACTATAATGGTCAAAATTTGCCTCCTCAACAGTCACACAAAATTTTGTCATCCAGGCTGGAAACTGGATGACAAAGTTTTATGTGACTTTGAGGAGGTGGTTTCCCAAATAATGCAAGCACACATTTTTTCTTTAGAGCTGTTTTGTTACAAAATACTGCTCTAAGAACTTTTTGTATAGTTCTGCATATTACTGTTCCAATGGTTAAAAAATGCTCAAACTCATTAAATGTTTTATAAAAATAAAACAAGTATGAAAATAAATATGAAGACGATTTCCTCGATACCTTGGAATGATACCTTGTGGTAGTTTTTGATCATCTAAAAACTAACAAATCTTTTTGAATCACCTTTGCCATGTTTAAACCTCAACTTGTTCATAGCCAAAACTATTTTAAATGCCATACAATCATACCCAGCCATGAGGTAGCAATTATATCAAGAGCGTGTAAATGGCAGTTTAGCTCATTCAAACTTTCCCCTTAAATGTCACACAGTTTGCTTATGGTAAGATGGTTAATTGCAACTTTAGCTGACATTACATTTGATATATTTGAGATGATTGATTGATCACTATCATTAAAAGATGCTAAATGAACATCTAAATAAAAGTTAGATGATCAACTGCTTTACATATATGCAAGCAAATATTCGTAACTAGCTATAAGCATTTTATTTGCCTTAATATTATGTACAACTTTAACTTATTTTAGCTTTTAAAGTTCTGAAATTTTCATTGCTTTTTTTTTAAGCTTTAAGATTGCATATTATCTTACTGTAATAATATGTCAGCAAATTTTGTTTAAGATCTCTAAGTTCAGCTCTTAAAACTTTAACAATTTGTTTCTTTTATGTAATTTTTGTCTCAGTACTTTCAACTTGTATGCCATGCTTTTTAATTTTGCCATGCTTTTTAATTACTTATGTGCTCAAGTGGTGAATTATCTAAACTACTTAAAACAGTAGTAAGAGAACTACTTGGAGGGACATGATGATAGAAAGATGGGCAAAATTTGTGCAATGCATATACAGGGTTCATTACAAAATTCCTTAAAACGACAACTATCCCTTGTAAAGTTGCAAAACCAACTTTTGCATCTTTTCAAAACCCTAAAGAAATGAGGTTTACAAATGTTTAAACTAAATAATAGTTATAACAAATGACTTGACACTGTTAATGAATAAAAAAGATACATACCTATTTTTACAACAACTGCAAGTTTTGGCAGATAAAAAGAAGTGTGTATTTAAATACTCTTTAACTGTACTAAGAACAAAAATTAAAGTTGCTTATTGTGCCTATTGCCGGGGCACAAAAAGCAACTTTATTTACAAAAAACTACCGAATAATGATATAACATTAAATTATAAACAATATTATACTTTTATTATTAAAAACATTTTTAATAATACTGTATTATTGCGTAATTAAAAAATACTATTTATACACACACAGACAAAAATGCCAATGTATACTGACATCATAAAACATGTGATAATATAAAGAGTTTTTAAAATACCATCATACCTATAGCTAGAATTATAGTAATCAACGCTTATGTTTTCAATTTCAATGAAACCAATAAAATTTTAGAAACTATAAACAAGTCACACTAAAATAAATAGTAATTTTCACTTTTAAAATAAAATAAACTAGTAAAAATATACAAACTAATATTAATTAATATAAAAAATCTAATAAACTACTGAAAAAATAAGAAAAAGAAAAAAACATCTTATTGGCAGTCTATATCTAATTGTATTAATATATATATATATATATATATATATATATATATATATATATATATATATATATATATATATATATATATATATATATATAAATATATATATATATATATATATATATATATATATATATATATATATATATATATATATATATATTATACATATAACATAAATAATTACTAAACTAACCAAATAAAATTCAACTTGTTTGTACCCCTCTTACCACCCACTTACGGAAATCAGAAAAACAGAAATGAGGTAACAAAACTGCTCACTTTTATAGACTATCTGCTCAATAATATTTTTCAATGAAATTTGGTAGGTAAATAAAAAATATATGTAAAAAACTATCTGGGTAGGTTTGCAAACTATCTGAGCATTTCTTTGACAATAATTTAATGTGAGAACAACAACCAAGTTTTTAATACAAATAAAAGCAATACAAAAATTACCAACCACACATAAATGTTATATATTAATCAAGTTTAACTATTCTTTTTTTCAAAAATAATCTAAGTTTAGTAATGTTTCTAAACAGAAACGCCACAAAATAACGTTCGCCTGACGTTACCTAAAAAAAAGTTCAAAAAACCTGGCACAAAATTTTAGTACAAAATTCGGTTCCGTAAAACACGGATTTCCGCGTACCTAAATAAATAGATAAGCTAATGAATCCTTAAGTCTTCCTTGATATAAATAACTGCAAAATATTCTAAATGAATCAACTTCGTCAAACTCTACGAATTTTGAAAGTTCATCTTCTTTTACTGATCTGAGAGACTCTCTAAGCTCTCTAAGAGAGTTTTTACCTATTAATGTTGTTCTTTTTCTAGTGGAAGAGATGGCACTAAACTCTAAATTAATTCAAACACACTAAGTGTATCTCGAGGATTTTCTTTTCCTTTTACTTTAATAACTAGGAAGTTTAATAACTAGGAAATTAAGACTTTCGAAGTCATAATTTCCTGAGTCCTAATTTACCGCGACACCGGTGATAAAAAAAAAGCAAATACTTTTACTTAGTAATTGGTCACCTTTACGTAAATAAAAACTATAGGAATTTATCTCAAACTTTTATTCACGTAAAGAACAACTACTAAGCGTTTTTAGAGTAACTTGCTTAGCTTTACGTGATTAAAAATTTGAGGAAGTTTGCTAAAGTTTTTATTCGCGTAAAGCTGAACTCCAAAAACGCTGAGTAAAAGCAATTGTTTTTTTCATTCACCCGCTCGGTGTATTGCTTCATACAAGCTAGGTGGACAAAAATATTTTGTTTTATAACTTCATTTCTAAGAATGTAGTTAACAATATTTTGGTGTTTTTTTGATTAGTTATGCAGAATGGTAACCTGGGGGAGGCAGGGAGGCAATTACCCTGCACGTTTAAGCTTAAAAGGGCGTCAAAAAGTCAATTTTACTAAAGGGTATTTTTTTTAGAGGAATAGAACTTTAAATTGCAATAAAACAACGATGGATTATTCGATTGACAAGAATTTTTTTTTATTAGAAAGATAATCTTGCGGCATTACATTTTAAATATAATTTCTGCCATATGACCACCACGGCTGGCTCGGATGTAGTCCTATCTGGACGTCCAATTTTCGATGACTTTTTCCAACATTTGTGGCCGTATATCGGCAATAACACGGCGAATGTTGTCTTCCAAATGGTCAAGCGTTTGTGGCTTATCCGCATAAACCAATGACTTTACATAGCCCCACAGAAAGTAGTCTAGCAGTGTTAAATCACAAGATCTTGGAGGCCAATGTCCAAAATGTGAAATTAGGCGGTCACCAAACGTGTTTTTGAATAAATTGATTGTGGCACGAGCTGTGTGACATGTTGCGCCGTCTTGTTGAAACTACAGCTCCTGGACATCATGGTTGTTCAATTCAGGAATGAAAAAGTTTGTAATCATAGCTCTATACCTATCACCATTGACTGTAACGTTCTGGCCATCATCATTTTTGAAGAAGTACGGACCAATGATTCCACCAACCCATAAAGCGCACCAAACAGTCAGTATTTCTGAATGTAACGGTGTTTTGACATACACTTGAGGATTATCTTCACTCCAAATGCGGCAGTTTTGTTTGTTGACGTAACTATTCAACCAGAAGTGCGCTTCCTCGCTAAAGAAAATTCGTTTATGAAAATCGGGAACAACGGCAAACTCGTTTTGGGCCCATTCGACGAATCTACGCCTTGCTTGATGATCGTTTGGCTTCAATTCTTGCACGAGTTAAATTTTGTAAGCACGCATACCAAGATCATTTCGCAAAATCTTCCATACAGTGGATGGACACAGATCCAATTCCTGTGCTCGATGGCAGATAGACTCAATCGGGTCTTCCGCAATGCTACGCTCTACAGTAGCAATAGTTTCTTCTGTACGCACCGTACGGCGTCTCTGGGGATGCGAGTTATCAATAAGAGTAAACGTGGTGCGAAAACGTTCCATGGTTAATCGAATTAACTGCTCTGATGAACGATTTTGTCGAGAATAAAACAGACGTAGTGCGCGATACGTATTCCGCACAGAACCATTTTTTTCGGAATAAAATTGAACTATTTGCAAGCGTTGTTCAGGCGTGAGTCTATTCATGATGAATTGCCAAACCAAACTGAAAATAAATAAATTGTCACCTGTTAAATCGGTCGCCATCTGGAACAGTAATATCAACTTAAAGTTCTATACCTCTAGAAAAAACACCCTTTATAAAAAGTATTTTTTTTTTTAATTTTATTGTAAAAAAGGCGATAATTTAACTACTTTTAAGTTTTTAAAAATTTTTGTCTTGAAAAAGATAATTAAGTGATAAAAATAAATACTAAATTTCCACACATAAATAATGTAAAAAAATTTTGCCTAAAATAAAAATATATTCACTACAAATATACAAAATATAAAAATATACTCACTACACTACGTAAAATAAAAAAATACTTTGATAATAATTAATTATTATCGGATGAATCATTGTTATTTTCACTATCCGATGAATCGGACTCTAAATAATCTTTATCGTCACACATAATTCTATTTTCAATAAGCTGTGGTGGTATTATAGGTGAGATAATTAAATTCAAAACTTCCAACGGTAGTTTACCAGTTTTTTTATTTGACAATTCTCTGTGTGTTTTGATGACAGAATCTGATTTTACTAAAAGCATATTGAGCAAATCTATATTTGTGCAAATACGTGAAGTTTTTCTTTTATGGTGTTCGCGGAATCGACGAAAATCTTTATTGCGGGCTTCTTGAGACTCTTCCAATAGTTGTCCTATTGGAAGAAAGCATGTTTTTATAACTTCCGTGCTATGTACAAGTATTTTGTGCACAGTAACAGGCATATAGTACCACGGATACAGATTAATATAAAGAGTTTTGGTTTCAGAATACAGCTTTTCAAATTCATAATAGTTAATATCATAGCCACAGGAAAGTGTTCTTAATAAAATACTGAAATTTTTAATTTGAGATTCGTTGAGTCTTATAGAAGTTGAGAAACTTCTTTTAAAGCTTGGTTAGTTTCTGTTGTAGTTAAAAGATTTGTTTCTTTTGAAAAAATTAATTTAATTGGTCGGCAAAAAAGCGTGGATGTAAGTCGTGGATTTTGCCAAATAATATTTTGACCGTCACTCAGTCTCAACGGAACAAATAAAAATGCAAACAGAAACTCATCAGTAGCATCAGAGTTTTTAAATCTCTGTTGGTATGTGCTATGACCGGAGCTTCCATCACATCCCCATTTGCTAATTAGTGTGAATGGCGTAGTAAAAGGAATACTTTTAAGAACATTGCATTAGGCTTCAATTAGGCGTTCAGTAGTTTTATCAAGTATAGCTTGTAGGCAAATTTCGGCACGTGTTTCATAATGAAAAATGATTTTTATACAACTATAAAGCTGTCAATGTATATTAAATAGATTATTAACTTTAAAATTAAACTGTTACATAAAGAAAGTTAATTAATGAAATTTAATAACAAAAAATTGTGGATTTATGTGGTGAAAATTTTTTCTTTGTTGTTCACCTTGGGACTTTAGCTATACACTGTTAATAAATTAGCTTGGATACATGTGGATTCAAAAAGTTGTATAAATTTTAAAATTAAAAACCAAAAAATATTTTACAATTTTAACGCAGTTTTTTAAACCTTATTTTAACACATATTGCTTAACTTTTAAATAAAAAATTTAATATTATTAAATAGTACTTACCCTCAAAAGTAAAATCCATCGCAGCATTAAAATGATTGCTTTCTTTAATTCTTCTTAAATGTTAATGCAACCATTGTAAATATTTAACTAATTTTTATTAAAAATGAAATTACATTTTAACGCCTTTTTAATTGCTTACGACATTGCTCTGGAGTGTTTTTCATAATTAACACCGCAAGTTATTACTAATGTAGGACTGTTATTGTGAAAATATTATCAATTAGTCGATTTCTTGATATGACTTTTGTCCACCTAGCTTGTATGAAGCGATACACTGTGACCCGGCTTAATGTCTTTCTATTTCAACTTCAAGCTTTTTTTGAGACTTGATGAAAAATAATTTATTTTTTCTTTATTTTATATTATTATTTAATACATTGTATAAAATAATATTTATCATAATATATTAATCATGTAAGTGTTGTTTATATAAATAAAAAGCAATAGTGGTCCTAAAGTAAAACATTGAGAAACGCCTCATAAACATTTAAACAACTCCTATGGATAATCATTGTTGCTGAAAACAAATTGTTTACGGTTAAATAAATAACTTCTGAACCATTTTGTAACTTTTAAGTTTATTCTAAAGTATTTTAGCTTTTGTAGCAAAATTGTATTTTCAACAGTATTGAATGCTTTCGATAGATCAATGAAAATACTTAATTTCGATTTCTCACGTACTAATTGGATAATTGTAAGTTCAGCGGATTGGATAATTGTTCAGATAAAGTTCAGTGGATTTACCTATTTTAAACCAAACTTTAAGAGACATCTTTTTAGATACCCTTTAAAAGATTTCTTTTAAATTAAAAAAAAAATGCTTAATACGTCCTATAATTATATTTTAATTTATGTAACATCACTAGGATTATTTTTTTAAAAGATATGAAGGCTCTTTTAAAACTCGTAAAAAAAGAGTTAAAAAGATAATTCATTGGAGCCAATGCAATTATTCATCTTTTCTAAAAAATCTTTAAATGTAAAGTTGGTATAAGGAATTTTTTTTGCTTGTTTAGGACCAATATTAACGAAGAATTTATAAAATTCATGAGCTATAGCTCTTGGTTTGCATCAATATTTGTTATCAACCTTTTTTTTTTTCTTTTTATTTACTCAAAGTAAGTTTTACAATAAAAGAATGAATAGGGTACATATAATAAAAAAAATTGTTAACTTTACAATATTAACTATATGGGAAGATTACCTAACACGAGCGAATTCCTAAAATGGTATAACCTCCTTCACGGGCAGACTACTGAGTTTTTTATGAATGTTTTTGGCTAGGTGTGTTTACATTAGTTTGACAGTTTTAACTGTTTTTATTTAATTTTAAGTCTAAGTGATATTTTCGTATTTTTTTTTTATTGTTCAAAAAACGTAGCACCAACGTTTTGAATTTTTATTATTGAACATTTTTCAGTAATGTAAGAACGTAACAAGATGTGTAATAGTTTGTAATTTCATCAATATTATAACTTTTGTATACTTTTTATTCCGTGGTTTGTATTAAAAAAAAAAATAAAAAAAAATGGCATGTTTCAAGACGTCTAAGTTGAGATGCATTTTATCTTTACTGAGAGAGCGAATTTATTGAAGTTATTTTCCACCCCAGCTTTAGGGTTCCTATATCACTAGATTTTCCCGGGGGTCTCCGGATTTTAAGGCAAAAAGTAAGGCTCCGGGAAATTTCAGAGAAAAACATGAAAACTCTTCTTTTTGAAGGTTTTTATAGAAATTTGATATTAAGTACTTAAATATTGAGTATACAAAAAACTGAAAATGTTAAAATTATTAAATGTAAAATGTTTTTAATCACTTACCAATTTACCAATTTATTGAGAATGTTTAAACTACACGCGTTCTGTTTTCTCCGTTACTTAATATTTAAAAATTTAAAGTTAAAAAAAAAATTGCTGCACTTTCAATAATACACTTCAAAAACATATTTTTTAGTTTTAAGATAGGGAGAAATGGTTAAGAAGCCGAATGCAAAATTTTATCTTTCGTAAATCTTTGGGAATTATTAAGTGTATATCTTGATCAATGATTGTAAGACAGAAACAAGACTGAACTTGAAGGTTTTGTGATTAAAATTAGGTTAATTTTTTTCGCAAAACCAGCAATTTATATTTTAAAAAAAATGACATTTTTAAAAAATATAGCAAAATTATTTGCTAAAAAATATTATCCTTTATGTACGTAAACAAAATTTTTTTAATTTGAATTTAATAATTCAGTAAATTGATTGACAGGTCTGTTTCGAAATGAATCTTGTGCAAACCTGTCTATTTTTAGTTTTTTTTAGCTGAATTATTAAATTTAAATATAACAGTAAAACATTTTGATGTATACATAGCAAAAAAAATGATTTACAATATTGGCTATATAAACCTGCCATCATATTTTTTTATCATAATCAATAAAAAAACAATAAAATTGTAAAAAAGATTACTCTAAGGAGGAATTGAACCTGCAACTTTTTTAGCCGTACCTCAAATTAGACATCGTTGGGGGAAAAAATCAAAGTATTTAAACAATTTTTGCATAAAAATAAGGATTTTATAATGTAAACATCTGTATGATCGTAAAAATTATGTGTGCGATAACGTAATGAGAACATTATTTGAACGCATCGCAACGTGAATATGTTGATGACGTAACAAATCGCGATGTTAGAATTATCTTGTTCATCTCCTCTTATTTTAGTTTTGAGATAAAACGATTTAAAAAATAAAAACTTTAGGAGACGGCGTATAAATTTTTTTTTATAACATGTTTTTTCCGCAACTTTTTTACTTATAACTTAGATTTCAATTCAGTAGAAAGACATTATTTTGAGGAACACAACACTATCATTAACTCAATTTTTTCAGAAAGTGGAGATAGAACAAGATAATTTTAACGTCGCGAAATGTAAATCAAGTTTGTAGACAAGTTACTTGACGGAAAGTTTTGGTCAAGTAATTGTAAAAGAAGGTTTATTTATTTAATTTTCATAAAAATCAATATTATTTTCCATCATTTAGCAACCTTAAATGAAGACATTGATACACTTTTGCATTATGGAATACACAAGTTGGCAGTTCCTCGCCCACTTCCACCCAAATACAGGTAAGTATGCATGCATAGACAACCCTCAAAATTAGTAAAACTAAAGTGAGTAATAAAGTCAATACAACTTCAAATATAACCCTCTGGTACCACCCCGCTAATCAAGGAGGACAACAAAATAAAAAATAATGTTACTGCAAACTCACTAAAGTTTGAAGAAGAGTTAGAAACCGTTTCTTTTGACGTTATTCAAAATGTGAATGTCAGTGATTGTGTTCTTTGTAAGGTTTGTAGTAAAAAAAACATTTCTTATTTTGTAGGCAGAATAAAATAGACAAAGGTTTTGGTGTAGAGGTGGGCTTCCTAAAATGCTAGAATAAGAAAACTTCTAAATTTGTCAAACCTAAAAGTAATGACATAGTGCGAATATTAGTGATATAAAAGCAGTCTTGCCTCAATCGCTTGCTGGAACCACATTAGGAACAAAAACTGAAATCATTTTCCATGAGAAATTAGAAAGTTAAAAAGTTTCTTTGTTAAAATTTCTTTTAATAAAAAAATTTTAATTCAAAATATGTAATCTTAATTTGATAGAAAAATGGATTAACTATTTTGTTTTATTTATATAAACTTTAAAATCAAAATTTGCTTAAATTAATGTTTAACTAGTTTTGGAGTCTTTTTTATATAGTCCTACTTCTCCCTCGCTTTTCCCGCTTATTTGTCCCACTTTATCTTAATAGCAGGGTTCCTCTAAAACCAAAAAAAAAGCATACTTTATTAAAACATGCTATCAATCTTACGGGGTAAAATCGGTGCCCTAAATACTACTTTATTTGTTAAAGCTTCATTGGTTAAGTTTATACGTCAAATAAAAAAAAACAATACAATTACCCCTGAGAAAAAATTTTTCGTGTCCCACTTCTCCTTACTCAAGCCCTTATTCTTTTCGCGACCACTTCGCTTTCAATTTTTATTTGTTTTTTAAAAATATTTTTTCGCAGCCACTTCATGTTTTATTGGATTTTGCTTCAACTCTATCAATATGACAAGATCTGTTTTCTAAATCGATATTTTTTTTTTGTATAAAATGTTTAATATTTTATCAAAAAACTTAATAATTATTTGTATTAGGTTTGTGTTTTAAAGTTGTTTTAACATCGCTTAACTCTTTAAATATTCATTACATTAGATTTGCTCTTATTTACATAAACTTCTATTTGTTCAATTTTGTTGGTATAACCGAAATATGAACTAATATTTCTAAGCATGCCCTCATTATTAATGCGGAACTTTTTTCTTGTTCTTTTTAACGACACCGTTTTTTTGAGTATAGATTTTTCCCCCTCTAAATTGTTGGTTATTATTCTATGCTTTCAAACGAAGTTTCTATATATGTAAAACAAATTTAGTAAGAAGTAGAAAAAAAGACGTCTGGAGATTTTTGATATATATTTAAATCATTTCTACTTGGATGACTATTAAAATCCCGGTTAGGTAGTGTAAATTTTTTCCAGTATAAAGATTTTGTAAATCTTCATACGAATACAAAATCTTTATACTGGAAAAAATTGTTAAAAAATTAATTAGCGTTTGCTGCATTTTTAAGTTCAAGACATTCAACCACGTAAAAACTTAAATTTAACTTTAAGTTTTTTATGGCGAAAGTTTTTTTTTGTTGCTGGTTGATTATAAATTGAATACGATACTTTTCTTTAAAAACACGCAATATTATCATGTTTTTAATATGCCTTAAGTAAAAATGAAAAGTTATTTAATTTAAGCAAACCAAATTTTTTTTTTCAACTTTCATTTTTAGTTTTAAAAATACATATGGCACGAATACATATGAAGAAATGGTGCCTACAATCTTCCCGCTTGCTGGTCTTTTTTAAGGTCATGCTTTTTCCATTGATGTTTTTTATCCATATGATCAGCCTTCAGAAGTAAATAACTTACTAACTTTGTATTATCATTTTAGACATCGCAAAACTATTTGCTTAAAAACAACTCATTAAGTGGCAACAAAAAATTGCATATATAAAATTCTACACTTTATAACTAAGGTCGTATGCTTCGCTTGGATTGATTTGAAAAACCACTTTTTAATAAATGTAGGTTAAGATATAAACCTAGGTTCTATTTTGTCGTTAAAACAATATTTTTAAATCATGCAGATATATATTCAAATTCAATTCAGTTATTCAACTATTAATCAATTTTCTAATCATCTAATACATAATTTTCAAAGATTATAAACTCTGAAGATTTCAAAATATAAAAAAATTATTTACATAGTTTTCTAAATATATCATAACTATATATTTTTAAAGAGAGCTTTTTTTTTTCCTTCACAAATTTAGCAAAGACTTTTAAATGATTCGACACAATTAAACCATCAAAATGATTGGTACTAATTCATAAAAATTTCATTCTTAAAAGGTATCATTATCTAGTGCGTAAAGAACTGCAGAAGCCGATTGTGCTCTTTTGTGACCTTTTTTACTTATTTTATCGCCATTTACAAAATTTTCCGTGAACGGTTTTTTACTTTCAAAAACACTACTAGTAACTTTCAGCAAGCCTTTATTTGACGCGGAAAGATCATCAAGTGCCTTTTCGTAGTCTGACGCTAAACAGGCTTTATTTAGTTCATACCTAGCACGACGGATGACGTACCACATTAGAAATCCGCTAATGCCAACCTGAATAGCAAAAATGAAATATCCTCCTGGAGAATTATGATGTACAACATCTTCTATTGTTCGCAATGAGGAACCCATATACGCATTTAATGCTTGAGTTGGTAACAATCCGGCAAAAGAAGCAATCAGACACTTGGAAAGGTCCATATTAGTAATCTAAAAAAAAAGAAAGGATACCAACAGAGGCCTGCATACAAAGTTTGACAAAATTTATTAAAACAAAGAACCTACAGCAAAAAGACCATTTTGCAAACCAAACGGTATTGGAGTCAAACGTGTCAGAAATACAACTTTAAAGCCACGTCTGCTTTCAACCACTCTGATTATTGCTTTTAAGTGTTCAGATTCTAATTTCGATTTTAGAAAACCTCTAATAAAAAGTCTACAAATGATTAAAGATGTTGTAACCCCAATTAAAACTGAAACAGTAACTGTAGCAAGACCTATAAAAAATCCGTATAAATATCCTGCAGCTACATTAAGAAGAATATAGCCCCAAGTCATTGGAAAAGAAACTATGGTGAACATTAAAACAAACAAAAGGCCGCTAACCCTGCCATCTAGGTGTTGAAGCCATTCTAATAGTTCGTTTATATACCTTCTAAAAAAAAATACTAGTACAATACCACTTATGCATAAAAGTATAAGCGTTCCAGATAAATGTAAACATTTTGATCGCAAACAAATGCAGCGAGTGTCTAAAACACGTTCAACATCAGATCGTTGGCCAAAACACTTTTGGCCGGAGTCGTTTATTTCTAAGAAATCTATTGATGTGTGATCCTTTTTGTTCGAAAAAATACTTACTTGCGGCAATAAACGATCGGATAATTTATCATCAACGCCGACACCATCCATAGTTGTTAAACTTTACTTAAAAAACATGATGAATATATTATTTTTTGTTTTCTTTTTTACCTAGATGTTTTAAGTTTCTGAAACAAAAGAGTTTATAAAAATCACAAAAGAACTAGAAAATGTAAATGATTTCTTTGTAACAAAGATGAGTCAAACAAATAATTTTAGAATGTTTTTTTTACAGCAATCATTTCAGCATATAAAACAAGGCAAAAAAAAAAGTTTTATAAGTAATTGTTGTCGTATAACATCAACTGTTGATATTTCCGAAAACAATTAATAAACTGAATCAATTAATCAACAATTTAATTCTAAATTAAAAGTATTGAAGGTATCGTAGAAATAATTAATTACGGAAATATTTTTAATAAGAAATGAATAACTCGCTTGTTAGAACGAATATTAAACTTTTTTTTTTTTTTTAAATAAATAAACTTTATGAAAAGATGAGTCGAACCAAATAAAAAAATATTTTATTTTGAATAATATTACTACGGTAGAGCAGGGCATATAGGGACACTAAAGAAACAAAAATTCTAGCTACGGATAAACTAATCAAAATTAACACTGTTTTTTATAAATTTCCTAATATTCATATATATATATATAATATATAGATATAAGATATATAGATATAAGAAAATAAAAAAAACAAAAAAAAAATTTCTCAAAATAAGTTATGGCGACGAAAGTAACGAAACTCTAGACTAGCTAAACTTTTACATTTTGCAAGTGGGTGGGGCAAAACGGGACAGTTAAAAAGTAGCAGTAATTCGTCAATTTTAAAGCTTTAAAAATGATGAAAAATGAAGGCTATCTATCGCCTAAATATGTTCAGACATTAAACTCTCAAAAAAGTAACATACCCATAGAAACTACACGCCCATACACCACCAAAAAGAAATAACAGCTGAAATAAAATATTTTTGTGTGTGTTTTATTATAAAATACCACCGCTCTACTCTAACCTATATATTATCAAATGGGTAACTGCTGTTTAACTTGAAATTAAACAAAAAAATTTATGGATCACATAAATCACACAAAAAGTGATTTATGTGATCCTGAAACTGTTCCACAACATTTTGATGAGCTAGCTTATTAGCAATATGCCAATGTAGAGCAAACTTAAATATGCCATATGTATCAGTAGCTTTTCTAATTTTAAGTTTCTGTTTACTCACAACTAAAACTGAATTTCATCCCGTTTTGAATGATTGATCTTTTTTACATAATTTCCTACATTTTTTTACATTAAACACTATTAATAATCGAAGTTAAGTTATGAAAATAAATTTAAAAAGAATTTCTTTGAATTTATTGCTTAAATTAATTTTCTAAATAAAAAAAAAAATATATTTTTTTAGTTAAAAATAAAATCATCAAACTTTTAATAAATACTTTGACAAATACTTTTGTTGTCCCGATATGCCCCACAAAAGTCATTTTACTGAAACTGTTACTTTTCAAAAAGTTTAATTCCAAATATTTTTTTAAAACCAGATTCTAAAAGAGGATAAAAAATACTGTCTGAAAAGTATAAACTTTTTATAAATAAAGCAAATTCGCAAAATAAATCTTTTGTCGCTGTATCGCTTAAGAAAATGCGTAAATTTTGTTTTTCGCAAACGTACCGATACATTTTGGTACTTTTAATGCATTTTGGTATTTTTAAAATTATTTTTTTTTTACAATAATGAAGCACAATAATTTAAAATGTTTTATCGAAAAAAATTATTGAAAAAAAATTATTTTTAGCTGAGATATAAGGCTTCAGGCATAACTGTCCCGTTATTCCCCGCTGTCCCGATACGCCCCGCTCTACCCTCGTTTTAATTATAAAAAAATTTTTTTTTGCCCTTATTTACCGATACACATATTTAATTATGGACGTATATAAAATAGAAACACATTTTTTTTCCTTTTATTTTTTGGCACTTTCTTTGTTTTGAAAACTCTTAAGCAATTTTTTTCCTAGCTTTTATTAATCTGAATTAAATTTTGCACAAATTAGCATCAATACTTTTTTTAATACGAACTTTGAAAATCAAAGTCATTTTTTGTTAATTTTATGTTAGATTTCAAATTGAAATTTAGATCGATTACAATAATATTATATAATTTTTTTACATAGTTTTATTCGGTTGTACTAATTTTTATTTATCCAAAAACTGATTCCAAATAATAAGATACGCTTTATTAAAACTTCCTTAATTATAGGATTCATCCGTAATTAACCATTTCTTTAGTGTTTGCGAATGAGAAAAAATTTAAATCATAATTTATAAAATAAATGTTTACATGATAAGGGCTAATTTAGTCTTATCACCAAACCTCGAAATATGCATCATAAATAGGTAAAATGTAGGTTAGATACACTTTCAAATAATATATCTTTAATGTAATAATTTACAAAAAAATACAACACATTGTGTTTAAAATATTTAGTATTTCACAGAATAAAATTTAAGAATCGACTAGTAAAACAATAAATAGTAAAACAATAAATAGTAAAAAGTAAAAAAACTATATTAAATGAATAAAATGAAACATATTAAACACTTTTTAAATGAAGAGCATAAAGTTAAAGACCAGGTGAATGAAAAAAAGCTATTACTTTTACTCAGCGTTTTTGGAGTAATTGCTCCGCTTTACGTGAATAAAAATTTGAGCAAAATCGCTCAAATTTTTATTCACGTAAAGCTGAACACTTACTGAATAAAAGCAATTGCTTTTTTTTTATTCACCCGGCCTAAACACTAAAGGACCAAACGTCCCTTTAAAAATCCTCCAGACATTTTCAGTAATTAAATGAACAGTGTTTAGATTCAACAGACACCAAAATTTGTACTAGTAAAATTTTGGTTTTTACATTATTCGTATAAATTCTTGTTGGAATCTTGTTACTTTTAATTTTGGTACAAAAGTAGATTAATAGGCTAAATATTTTAGTAAGATTTTTTAATACTTGATTTAGAAATTTAACCTGAAATTGCAAAAATTGTGCGTTATGTTAAAAAAATATTATTATTATAATACTTTATAAATACATACCTTTATATCTATATTATATATTTTTGCCAACATAGCGTATCGAGAGGCAAAATGAGACACTTAAGTGCTAATATATCTAATACGGCCCGCCTAACAACTTTTGAAAAAATAAATTGATATTTTTCATGATATGTCTCATTTTGCCCCGCATACCGGGGCAAAATGAGACAGGATAGGTAAAATAACGGCCGGTCAACGGTCAATGACCGCCCAAAATGAGTAAAATTGCTATTTTGACCTCCCAAAATGAATTCTTGCCGGTCATGGTTGACCGATTAAAAAATAATTAGAGTTTTGAAAAATAAGATTTGAAAAATAATCAGATTATTATTTGGAAAAGTATGTACTAAATTATCATATAATCATTAAAATTTTTAAAAAGTTTATCAGGTTATCAAACTTCCTTTAAGAAATAAAATGAAAATCTGCACGCTTAATTTTAAACTATTAACATTGGCGTGTAATTTTAATGTTAATTACTTGCAAGTTTAAAAAAGGAATACTAATTCGTTAGTTATCAAATATTAAGTTATTTTTGTATTTATAAAGTTCAGTCTTGAAGAACTATTACAAAGATTAAAATAAAAAAAAAAAGAAAATAATAAAAATGTTGACCGTCCAAAAAAAACAGTTGACCGTCAATTCCAAGGGTTAACTGGTTAAATTGACCGCTCGCCTTTGATTTCTTATTTTACACGCTGTATATGTATATGTATATATATATATATATATATATATATATATATATATATATATATATATATATATATATATATATATATATATGTATATATATATATATATATGTTAAAAATATAAAAACATCAATTAATAAATTCGTTACGTGAAGTGCTCATTAATAAAGTTATAATGTTCAAATTAAAATTAAATTAAATTGCTTGTTGGCAGTTTATTTTATTTAAATCGCAGGCATATTTTATTTATTTATTTTTTCCTATTTTTACGAATAAAAGAGTTGGAAACCTTTTTTTTTAACTAGACTTACTAATTAGAGCACTAAGTTATTGTTTTAAATAATTTTTTTTTTTGCAACTTTTTTGAAAAAATAAATGTTTGCAATTTAAAAATATTAAATACAATACTTTTTAATAAATTTGATAAAATTTGTTCATTTTTTAAATTTATATAATTGCTTATATAATTTCTTTTTCATAAATAATTTTTTTTTGTTAGGAATTTTTTTTTTAACTTTTTTCCTAGTATAAGTTAAACTTAGCATTTCTACTTTCAGCGCATTTTTAAAATTTTTAAATCATCAAAACATATAAGCAATCGTGGTCGAGTTGTCAAAAAATAATATAAGGGGTAAACAGATTCTATCTATTGACCAGCCTCGCACCCCTTCTTTATCTATTAGGCTGGCGCAGATGTATTCTTAATACATTGTTTACAGTTTAAGATGTTGAATGCTGGATCTTCTTGACTCAATGCATGGGTTTTGCTTGTGTCTCTGTTTTTATGACTAGGCAACTCATTCTATTATCTCCTAATGAGGGTACAGCTTTAAAACTCTTAAAACTATCTAAAAAACTTTAAAACTGGTAGCTCTTAGAGAGGCTGATTTCATCAACAGCCTAAAATATCAAAGTAATAACAGTGCCATGTTGTGCATGGATGGTGTCCCTGTTTGTACATTTGGTGTGCATTGCCATAGCCACATTGGAGCCCTTTGTTACGACTTAGGGTTTATTAATATTAATGAGGCAATTGCTTGGGCTAATAAACAGTGTAATGAGTACTATCTATGTTTCAAGTAAAGTTCTTTAAGAAATTCGAAAATGAATAAAGTAACAAAAACTGTAAAACACAAAAAACCACTGTCATCACCAAGTTTGCTAAACTTATCATCCACTAATATTTGTGGTCTTTGAAGAAACTTTTCTTCTGTTGAGTCTTATCTCTTGCAAAGTTCAACAGACCTACTAGCTCTTTGTGAGACTAATTTGAGATCAGCTGTCTCATCTTGTGATCTTAGTGTTAATGGTTATCTTTCTTTAATTCCAATAGTCCAAAGATTCCAATA